CAAAGCATTGCTCGAACCAGATTGTTTTTCAAGCTCATGGAAGAATGCCTTATTCTTTTTGAGGTTGTCATTTGTTTGAAATTCCATATTCTTTTGATGTCTTATCTGCCTTCTTGATCCTGTAGCTGATTGTCATCAAGATCAATGGTTGTGCTAGTTGATAACTCATAGTCTCACTAAGATCACTGGTCCTCTAGCTGATTCTCATTATTTTGTAGTTAATATTACTCGCTTCAATATTGTTGGTCTTGGTTAATAATCCAAACCCTTATTGAACTACTTATTACTTGTTTTCTTCCATGGTGATGATACAGTAAATGGTACATCTCCCTGACTTCTATCCAAAAAACAAAGAAAGTAAATGATATATCTTCACCTTTGATTTTGTATATTGAGTCAAAGTCTTCTAACTCTCTTGATGTCCCCTGTATTTTGCAGCATAGAAAACTTGCTGATGGCATGCTTATTGGATCCAGTTCTCGGAGCCCTGCTGCTGTTGGTGATGGACCTGGTTCCCCAAAATACTCTGACAGACTATCTCCTGCAATCAACAACTACCTATCTGAAGCATCAAGACAAGAATTCAGAGTGGGTACCTTCTTTTTGTACCCTGCGTGACTCTGGCCTCTTGAACATGTTTAGAGAATTGTTACTTAAAAGATAATTTTTCCTGTTTTTGTTTAGTGTGTTGTCACAGATGCCCAGTTTCTAGAATAAAGGATGTTCTTTTTTGTTCCAAAATCATGAGTCTGTAAATGGTGATATCAATGCACACATTAATATTGTTCCTTTATAAATTATCCAATCACAATTACTAGAAATAATTCTAAGAAAAATGAATCCAAAGAAACATTTATGTTTCCTTATCTGTGCTCGACCATTGCTATTTTAGGTTATCTGTGCTCGACCCACTGCCTTTAGGTTGCCTTGGCCTTTTTTGGGTCTTGTTTCTAATATACCTTGTTTGTTTCTTATCCAAGAAAAAAAAAAAGAAGAAGAAAAATTCATATCTTCTGATTTCTTTTTGTGCATCTTCCTCAATGCAGCCTCAGGGAACACCTGATAATGGTTATTTATGGCAGAGGGTGAACTCTCAGTTGAGCTCCCCCAATCAGCCATATTCCTTGAGAGAAGCACTAGCTCAGGCACAATCTTCTAGGATTGGTGCATCTGCTCAAGCACTAAGGGAGTCACTGCACCCAGTACTAAGACAAAAATTGGTACACTTCTCCGATTTTTAATTTTAATTTGATTCTTTGTAGTGATTTTATATAACATTATTAATATGTTTTTTCTAGGCAACTTAACTTCTAAGTTTGCTCTCAGGAACTTTGGGAAGAAAACTTAAGTGCTGCAGTGAGTCTTCAGGTTTTGGAAATAACTGAGAAGTTCTCTTTGATGGCTGCATCCCATAGCATTGCTACTGATTATGGGAAACTTGATTGCATCACCTCTATATTCATGAGCTTCTTCTCTAAGAACCAACCTTTGGCATTCTACAAGGCCTTGTTTCCTGTCTTTAACAGTGTCTTCGATCTTCATGGTGCAACTTTAATGGCAAGAGAAAATGACCGTTTCTTAAAGCAAGTAACATTCCATCTTCTTCGGCTTGCAGTTTTTCGAAATGATAGCATCAGGAAAAGGGCTGTTTCAGGGCTTCAGATACTTGTGAGGGTAGGATTTTTAAATTGCATTTTTCACAAATTTTAACTTCTTGATTTGTTTTCCAAAATCGTGTACCTTATCTTTTGTGTTGCAGAGTTCTTTCTGTCACTTTATGCAGACAGCTAGGTTGAGGGTCATGCTCATAATTACTTTGTCAGAGTTGATGTCTGATGTGCAAGTAACTCAGATGAAAGCGAATGGGACACTTGAAGAGAGTGGTGAGGCACAAAGACTACGAAAATCCTTAGAGGACATGGCAGATGAATCCAAGAGTTCTGATCTGTTGAATGAATGCGGACTTCCTGAGAATGCCCTTGTAATAATTCCAGAAGCATCTGCTGACAATAAGTGGTCTTGGTCGGAGTTGAAATATCTTTCTGACAGCCTCCTTCTGGCTCTTGATGCTAGTCTTGAGCATGCTCTTTTAGTAAGTCTTCGTGCCATTTACGTTGGTATAATTTATTGCTATTATTATTTTTGGATTGTATATGTATGCCATGGTCCATTCTGTTCATTCCAGATGAAATGTGGAAAGTGCAGGGTTTTGTTTATCCTGATACGTATGAATATCATTTTCTTTGGAAGGTGGATCACGTTCAATTACTGCAGACATTTTAGAATTGATATAAATAAAAATTGCTTGGTTGCCAAAGCATTGTTTGGAGCCATATGCTATATGTGACGAAACAAGATGACTTGGAAATGTTCTTATTACCTAATATCTGATGTACGGATATTTCTGTATCATGTGTTGGAGAACAGTAGGATTGATATATGATACTAGAAACAACTTGTTTTTCTGTGAACATTTTATTTGAAATTTGCAATAGCCGGGGAAAGTCAATGACAGTCTTGCTAAAGAAGGGAGAATTTCTGATGAGGACATCTTCCATTTCTAGAGTATAAAAACCACACTGAAGAAAATCATGGGGCTTGAACACACTAATAATAGTGAAGAGGGAGATTATGTTATTTCTGAAGTTATGATCTGACCTTACACATCAGATTAGTGGTATATGTTTGGTAGTAGTTATTGCTTTTCTGAAACTAAAAGTATTGATACCTGATGCCAACACCATTCTCTTGTCGTTTCTAAACTTGTCTGACCAATTTTTTTCTATTCAGGCCTTTTGTGATGTCTGCAATAGAAAAGCTGTCCTGTACTTGTTTGATGTTGCGTGAAAAATCTGATGCTGGCTCTCCTTAAACCTCAACTTATTTAGGCTAAAGCTTTTGAACTTCCTAAAATTTATGAAAATTATGCATCTTATCATACTAATTATGTAATGAAGAGGGAGAGTATCCTCTTCGAAGTCGAGTCAAGAAAATAATATATGACCTTGCACAGATTAGACTTGTGGTATTTCTGGTAGTAGTTATTACCCTCCTAGACTTGAAATAGTGACGTCTGATGCAAGCATTATTCTGTTGTGTACTATACTTATGCTGGCTAATTTCTTGATTTAGGCCTCTGTGATGTCAATGGATAGATATGCTGCTGCAGAAGGTTTCTATAAACTTGCGATGGCATTTGCCCCTGTACCTGACCTACATATTATGTGGTTATTGCATTTATGTGATGCGCATCAAGAGATGCAGTCATGGGCTGAAGCTGCACAGTGTGCTGTAGCAGTCGCAGCTGTGGTCATGCAGGTACTTCACATTTCCAGTTGATTTTCAATGAATGGAATTTTCTCTACTCAAATTTGTCTTGCTGGAGGCTTACGATGGGATTTTCTTTAGGCTCTTGTTGCTCGAAATGATGGTGTCTGGAGCAGAGATCATGTAACAGCTCTACGTAGAATTTGCCCAATGGTCAGCAGTGAGATCACGTCGGAGGCATCAGCAGCTGAGGTGGAGGGATACGGTGCCTCTAAACTCACACTCGACTCTGCTGTGAAGTACCTACAGCTTGCAAACAAGCTTTTCTCTCAAGCTGAGTTGTATCATTTTTGTGCTAGTATTCTGGAACTTGTAATTCCAGTTTACAAAAGTAGGAGAGCGTATGGGCAATTGGCAAAATGTCACTCTTCACTGACGGATATCTACGAATCAATCCTTGAGCAGGAATCAAGTCCAATTCCGTTTACTGATGCAACCTATTATAGGGTGGGATTCTATGGCGAAAAATTTGGGAAGCTGGACAGGAAGGAATACGTATATCGTGAGCCCCGTGATGTACGATTAGGTGACATTATGGAGAAACTTAGTCATGTTTACGAGTCTCGGATGGATGGGAGTCACACACTGCACATTATTCCAGACTCTAGGCAAGTGAAAGCAGATGAGTTGCAGCCGGGAGTTTGCTACCTACAGATAACAGCGGTTGATCCTGTCATTGAAGATGAAGATCTGGGAAGTAGGAGAGAGAGAATCATTTCACTATCTACTGGGAGTGTTCGTGCACGCGTCTTTGACCGCTTCTTATTTGATACACCATTTACCAAAAATGGAAAGACTCAAGGTGGACTAGAAGACCAATGGAAGAGGAGAACTGTTCTACAGACCGAGGGCTCCTTCCCCGCATTGGTAAATAGACTTTTAGTTACTAAGTCCGAATCGCTCGAGTTCTCCCCTGTAGAAAATGCGATTGGAATGATTGAAACTAGAACTGCTGCTCTGCGAAATGAACTAGAAGAGCCTCGCAGTTCTGAAGGGGATCAACTTCCACGACTCCAGAGTCTTCAGAGAATACTCCAAGGCAGTGTTGCAGTTCAAGTGAGCTTCGAACTTGATTTCTCCAATCTGCTGGTTTTTATAATATTATGCGCATGTACAATTGAAGTTTGGACTTCAATGTTTTCACCTAACGTGTATCTCCATGGATGCAGGTTAACAGTGGAGTGTTGAGTGTGTGCACCGCATTCTTGTCCGGTGAGTCAGCTACGAGGTTGCGGTCACAGGAGTTGCAGCAACTCATTGCTGCCCTTCTTGAATTTATGGCTGTATGTAAGCGTGCGATTCGAGTTCATTTTAGATTAATTGGAGAAGAAGACCAGGAGTTCCACACCCAACTAGTGAATGGATTTCAGTCTCTCACTGCAGAATTATCGCATTACATTCCAGCCATTCTATCGGAGTTGTGAGAAATGTGTGAATACCCCCTTTTGCCATTTTATTGGGTTTATTGTAGTAACAAAATCTACATTTTTCATGTTTAATGTTGTGTAGTCTGTAACAGCATTGTATTCTTGTGTATATATATTTTTTCTTCAGCCTCCAGATTTTAGAGTATAAATGTGGTGTTAATAGGAGTAAAAAAAAACCGCAAAGTTCAATGGATGATTAAATTAATTTTTACCAATAATTCTCACTTCTAATGTAAGCATTCAATCTGACATTCAATTTCCAAGTAGTAGTTTCATACTGCCTTGATCTTACTATCACAAACCATCTTAAAGTTTACTACATAAGACGTGTCCAAGTGGGGAATCAAGCTTCCCACTCCAAGTTAGGTTCAACTTACTGATGCACAGAAGTTTGAGTTCCTTGAATTATATCGATGCGCTCCTCGCATACAAAGCTATATCTGCAGCGTGAAGTACTAACCTAATAAATAATCTATTTTATTGCTGATGTTCACAATCACAGCTTACTCTTTGGAACACCAACAGGTGAATTTCTGGACCTCTTTTCCACCACTCGCGACAACTGTTTAACAGCCTCCTTCGGTAGGCGACGAGGTGAGCTCAACCACAATCCTCCATCAGCAATGATAGTTGTTCCATTCACATATTTACCTTCAAAATATGTAATGCGTTCAGGATTAATCTTGTGAACTTCATCAATGTAATTGACTCGTAAAAATTTGAGGTTCTTCTACAACAAAATACACTTTTAATTTGTATCTGAAAACAAATTTCAAATTCAATGTTGACAAACGTGCATACAACAGTCATAAATAGATGTTCTGAGGTTATAAAACAGTATTTCTGAAAGTTGTCGACAAGATTCGCATTAACAAAAACATGGAGAGAGAATATCCATTCTACTTTATACTTTTCAAACGAAAACATGTTTGGGTAAGTCACGAAAACTGATAAGTTTAGGGGAAAACCATTAGGTGAAGGCCAAAAACGGCATAACTTTGGAAGAGAATCCTCACGACCACTTCCAAAGATGGACTACCAAAACGCATGCAGACTGCCTCAGCCCATGATTTCTATATTCATATGTCAGACCATATGCCAAGAAGTAAAAAATAATATCTAAAATTTAAAAACTTCCACATTATTATCCTGTAATTAAGATTCTGTCCGGGAAAAGAACTACCGAAGAGAATTAAGAAGGGACACACCTGCTTCTGAAGCAAGGTAGAGAGCAGCCATAGCAATATCCCATTTTTCACCTATTTTGTACAAAGGCACATCGTCTCTTATTCTGCTGCTTATCTCTTCAGGTGCGAGTTTACGAAGACCAGGAGTACCCTCGATGGGTCCGGGTGCAATCCCGTTGACTCTAATATCATAATCAGCGCCCCACTCTAGAGCTAAATTTCTTGTAATGGCATCTACAGCTGCCTGTTTATTTGAAAGAAATTTCGATGAAAGTCGATCCAACCAAAAAAGAGAAATTACAACCTTTAGACATGATCACAACTAACCTTAGCTGCAGATACATGAATTTGATACCAGGTAGCTGTGTAATGCAAAGTAGCACTGATATTAATTATTGCTCCGCCGCTAGATGAGTTCTTCCCTGGCCCTCCTTTCTTGAGATATTTAAGTGCTTCATGGCACATTGTGAATGTACCAACTGAATCAATATCCATAACTGCAGGGGATGGTTAAAATAAAATGTTAGTAAAATATGTGGCACTTCATGAAAATCATGTTCTGGGAATAAGCACCATTTTCAAATTATGTAATAATTCCTTTCTGGTCTCTTCCTTAAACGTAGACATCTTTGGAAAAATAAATAAATAACACATCTCTATCTATAACAATTTCATCAACATTGAAAGGTTAAAATACATGGCAATGAATTTTTCTTTTTTCACAAATAAAAAAGGTCACACAAAATGGCTATAAGTTCCCTTAAATTTTTTATTTTAATTTTCGTTGGTAAGAAACAATTTCATAAATATATGAAATTACAAAATGGGAGTAAACTCGATCTAGGGAGTTACAAAAGACCTCTCCAATTGGAAAAAGAGTGTTAAAGCCATAGAAATAAAAAATAAAAAAATAGGGGACAGTTTACACCAAGTAATAGCTAATAAAGCTATAGCGTCAAAGAAGCGATCGAAGGGAAGTTCCTTATCTTGTTTTTTTTTTCTTTTGAGAACTGGGAGTCGGAACTTTGCTCTCATATATCCAGGGGTACCCGCACTAGTCTCAAAGCCCAGACCCGGGAGACATCAAAGATATTTGATATTGAGCTCACCAGAAGATTCGAACTTGAGACATCTAAAACAGTATGACCAAGAAACTCCAAGCTCTTGCCAATTAGGCCGCCCCTTGAGGGCTCAAAAGGGAGACTCCTTATCTTTAAAGATCCGTAGATTTCTGTGCCTTCAAGTCATCCAAAGGAGTCCCGAACAAAATGGTTCCGGAGAAGCTTCTTTTCTATGTTGAATGGATGCCCCCAAAAAGGTGGTGGAGAGGAAGGAAGATGGGTCAATTGGAAGGTGGATATATGAAGCAATAGACCATTCAACAATTTCAGCCCAAACTCCAGGTGACACTTTCTGCCGAAGATCCTTTACTACGACTTCTTTTTTCTGTGGGATATTAAAAAACAACAGATAATTTTGTGCCTGAGTGTTGAATTAGTTAGAGTGGACTTAGTTAGAAGTTGTTTTAAAGTTGTTTAGATTTTGTGTTTAAATTTAGCAAATAAATCTCCTTTTTTGTTAGGGAAGTTAGGAGGTTATTCCTAGATTTTGTTTCCTCTTGTAACCTATAAATAGTGTCTCTATTCCTCATCTTTGATCAATCAATTTGAGAATTTATTTCTTCTCTCTTTGCTCGTGTATGTCTCTCTGGTATCTCTATCCTTAGTTTTTATGGTATCAGAGCACATCCACGACACCTCACATCTCTATCTCTGAAAACACTTCGCTCCAAATTACCTCTCCAAAACTCAACGGAAAAAATTTTCTGCAATGGTCTCGATCGGCCCTCCTAGTTATTCGTGGCCGCAGTCGACTTGGGTACATCAATGGCACGATAGCAGAACCAGATGAAGCTGACCCTTCTAGTGCCTCTATTCCTCATCTTTGATCAATCAATTTGAGAATTTATTTCTTCTCTCTTTTCTCGTGTATGTCTCTCTGGTGTCTCTATCCTTAGTTTTTACTTGAGTGCTATTTTGTAACCAAGAGTCTTTCCAAGATGAAGTGTGCATTTCGTCCACCACTTTATTGGTTGTGCAGTCATGGATGAGAGATTGGTGCTGGCAGTAGCTATGGATTGGTTACCTTGCTTGAAATTTAAAAAGGTGGATCCATATTTGGCATCGATGATCTTTCTCCAAAAAGCCTTCTCTCAATAATATCTCCAAGTCCATTTAGGAAGAAGAGCTTTGTTCTTATCCCTTAGGCTTGTGAGCGGTAAACCGCCGTCTTTTATGATGAGGTTAGAGAAGCCCTCCATCCGTTCCTTTCTTCACCAACAAGAACAAGTATCTTATTGCTCCATTGTTATCAAATTTCACGATTTCTGCCAATGTTCCTTTTCTGTTTAGAGACTTTTCTACATAGAGTTTGATCATCAAATGAAGAAAAGACCTATCTTTCGTTGTCTCAGTAATCTTAGCACGACTATCCTGAATCTTTAGTCAACTTCTATGGAGAAAGATTTCCTCTCTTTTGCCACTGAACGGGGGGAGATATCTTTGACCCTCGGAGAAGGATTTAAGCGAAGCAAGGGAAGCCATGGAAGGGGAAGGTTGCTGGTAGGTGGGGAGTGGCGGGCTTGGAGGGAGGGAGAGGGTTGGGTATAGAGAGAGAGAGGCGGTCATGGTTTTTTCAAAGTGGGCAACGGTAAAGTTCTCTAAAAATCAAATATCAAGTACCACATTTAATAAGAACGAGGACATATTTGTGCCTTGCAACACAAAACAACCAAACATGCAAAGAAAAATTCCACGTACACCTTCAGAATAATAAGAATTAGATTATGAGTTACGACAAATTGAGTTCAACTTTCTGCTGCAACGTTTTTTAAAAGATTTGATAAATTTTCAGAGTGATTAGGTGATCAAATTGCTATGATTCATAGGTCAATTGATGAAGATGAATAACAACTCAGGAGTATCCAACAAATACATAGTCCAAAATGCTTCAACGGATAAATATTTGTGCAGGATCGGAATGGACTAATATCAAGTAAGAGACATCATATAGCAGTAATTGCATGCAAATAAAACCTGTCCGAAACCCATTGGGAGACAAATCTTCGGCTGATACCAGAAAGTTCCCAGCTGCTGCATTCACAAGAATGTCCAGGCTACCAAGACTATTGAAAGTAGACTCCACTACTCTACTTGCATCTTCCTGTTTACGAACATCACCTTCAAAGCCAAATGCCTGCAACGGATCATAAACAAACAACAGGTTTCAGAATCAAATTTTAATTTCTCAGAGCATAACATGGATGATTATACATGTCGGTGAGAGTCCATTTACAGATCCATGTACGGTATATACAAATTCAAAACCTATGCAACTAATCTTGCAGTGTCCGAGTGCAGAATTATCTATGCTTCTGAAAACGTATAAAAATTCCATGCGAATAATTTGTATTTTTCAGCGCCGGTAATAAGCACACGGTTCAGAGCACGTGATTCAATTTTTTAGAAATTAACACTAATCTGATTAGTTCCAGCTTCCACTTAATCACGTGGCTCATTCAAGCTGAAAAGAACTGATACATGTCTGTAAAGCAGAATCCACTCACCAATTTGATAGTAAGCAAGAAAATAGAAAAAATAAGGAAAGACGAAAAGAGGGAAGAAGGTATAGAAATCAAAGTACGTCCAAGAAAAACCGCAATACTTAGTTAGTGCCCTATTAATTCGGCTTTTTCAAATACAGACATAAGTAATCTCCTTCGTACTCATACATATAACGGAGTAAGTTGATAAAATATATCAGTGCACTGCAATCTAAATTAACAGCGGCATGATTTCTTCTTGCCATGACAAAGCAAAGCAAATAAACAGAAAACCTTTCTCATGATTCCAGCTAGACTCAATCTGTATAAGAAGGATTGAAACAACAAAACGAAACCGCAGATGAAAATTTTATAAATAAGCTTTGACATTCGATTCCTTATCAAATAATTAAGATAATTGAAAATGTAGCAGGAACAGCGGTATCTAGATATTCATTAAGAATACGGAAGAAGCGAGAATGGAAGTGGATTACCGCAATTCCAAGGGATCGGAGAGCAGAGACGGCAGAGTGGAGGACTTGGTTCCTTCGGCCCATGATGGCAACCGATGCTCCATGTTGACCGAATTGTGCGGCGATTTCGTAGCCGATTCCAGAGCCGCCTCCGGTAATCAAAGCGACCTTGCCTTTCAATATGTCTGATCGGAACGGGGACGCCATCTCTCTCTCTCTTACAACCAAAGCGCTCGCCACTCGGAGGAGAGATCTAAGCTCGCTCCACGCTCTGTCTTCATAAACAGTAACAATAGGAGTGCTCTAACATCCTCCTGCTTCTCGGGTGGGAAAAATTGACTAATAAAGATGAGACACGTGGCAAAGAGCAACCCACGTTTGTAAGCGACTACTATTTGAGGAACATTAACCAAAACTCACCCGTCATCAACCTTTCCTCATCCTCACTAATCGAGTAAATGTAATAGCATCGTTAATATTAATAATTAACCATATGCCAAACTCAAGTGTATTTTGGGAGTGATTTTGCATGACCAAAATTATTTTTATCGTTGTAATCACTTCCCTTTTCATGATTATGTTTGAAAATTTAAAATTTGATTTTAGGAAATCTTAAGATTATGTTTGGGAGTGATTTTAGCGTTGCAAATCAATTCCATTTCCATTATCATGTTTGGAAAATTAAAATTTTGATTTTAGGAGAACATAAAATCATTTAAAATTGATTTTTAAGGGATCTGGGTGGTGATTTTGGAAAATCAAATATGCATAAATCTCTTTTTTTTTTTTCAAAATCAATAATTATACTATCACTCCCAAACACATCTTAATATAGATCAAATTAAGCTTGGTTTAATTGGTTAAGACAAATTATCAAAAAAAAAAATATCTATCTCTGGTAAGTTCGAATTCTCACCCCATATATTGTTATATTAAAAATAACTAATAGACCAATATTAATAAATTTTAATTATTATATTATAACTAATAATTTAATTGATATTAATCTTTTAAATTAGTTCAAACTCATTTAGTTATTTCTTAGTGATTAAATAAATCATTAAGAAGTATTAACTTTAGTTAATAATGTAAAAACTATTTATTTATTTTTATTTTAATTAATTAATATTATAGTATATTAATTAAATAATACTAAATTTAATTTATAATTGACATTACATAATTTATTCTCTTATTTCAAATTAATTGGATAAACAAATAGAATTCCCAGCAACAAAAGTTGTGAAACAGGAATAGACATAGTAAAGCAACCAATTAAAAGTAGCCTCTGAAATTTGAGGGTTCCTTGAAAACATCTTGGAATATTCTATTCTCCAACGAACAACCCCTCTTTAGTCAAAGTGTAGGTCCCATTCCCTAAAGAAATCTCCTGAAGAATCAGATCAGATCACTAATAATTTGGTTGAACCTTGTTATGCACCTTGTCTCCTAAAGAATTTTAGGAGAGACCTGACAGACCACAATAAAATCACCTCCTGGGAAACTGAATATAAACAACTCAGATATTCAACTTCCTCATTCTTTCCTATTACTATTAAAGATCGACTAGCGAGGGAAATTCCGAGATCAAAGCACAGGTCAGATATATTTGCCAAGAGAATGCAAGAGCAACAATCTTCAGTTCTGAAAAGAAAACAACCTTCTGATCTAATTAATCGATTAAATTGAACTGATTTCTACTTTTTTCCAAAAAAATCAAAACAAACAGTTTTCCATTCCATATCATAAGCAAGCATAAAAGAAAGTTCCACAGAGTGACATGGAACTTCTCTTATACATTCAGCATTGGCAAGCAGATTTGATGTAGCTGGCTGGAAACTACTAGTATGAAAACCACAATGCTACTAATCAGACAACTTCTGTTCATCCATCCGTTTGTTTAGTCAGAGGCTTGCTAAGTTATCACCCCTTGATTTTCCAGTTATGGGATGTCCGAGGCCCACTTGTAATACCCTCATAATATCGAGATTCCAGCTTTTGGTCATTCCACAGTTCAACAAAATCAGAGAAAAGCTTGCGAGCAGACTCCGACGAGAGATCAGAGAAATACACATTTTTCTCATCTTTCAACCAGGTAGCAAACTCATTATTCTTTGAGAAATAGTCCTCCTTCGACAGTTCTTCATATTTGGCTCTCTAAAATCAACAAATTACGTCAAAGAAAGTAGCATTAAACCCAGAGAACTAAGAAGGATCACCACCCAACAGTAAGAAATATAACGTAATAGATACCTCTACCGTCAGAAGGAAACAACTACAACAAACTAAGGCATTGCACTTAATTTCTTAAAAAAACAATAGAAAAATACGGGAGCATCAAAATCTTCCTCTAATTTTCTACTATATATGAACAGATCTTGCAAGGCGATCGGTTAGAAATAACTAAAAAATCAAGCCTCAAGTGTAAGACATTAACACAAAGTTGAATTTTGTAAATAATTGCTAGTCCAAGCAATGTTTAAAAATTTTCCAATAAGAACTCGTGATGGGATGTATTGGTGTTTGCTAAATTCATGTAGTCTATCACAAGGGTCACAACAAACTGATGAGGCAGGAAAGAAATTGATAGGAATGGCCTTTATGGGTATTTAGGGTTATTATTAGGGTATCAAGGGTATATTTAATTGGGTTAGGGGGTTTGATTATAAATACAGCGAGGGGTAAGGATGAGGGTAGGCAATTAGTGAGTACGGTTTAGGACTGAGTAAGAATACTCGAGAGAGGGGAGGGTCCAAATACCTCGAATTACTTAGGATTTATTGAAGTTCTTATATCTTTTTATATTTCAACATATGGGAGGGGTCAAGCTTGGAGACTTCTCATTTGTGGGGAATCAAACTATCACGCAACTTGCATTCCGGTTTCACATATCGAATGGGGGAGTTCCGGTTTCTAGTTTGGTTTCTATCAGCAGGAAGTTGGTGGAAGCAATAAACAAACTAACAAATATGGATAAAGCTGAGACATTCCATCATATTAGTCAAATCAAGAAACCAAAAATTGATTCTAGTGGATAATTCCGATCAGGTACCTTCAACATCAACCCGTACCTCCACACAAGAAATAAGATGGGGTCTAAAACATAAAAGATTTTGCTTACATAATTCTTCAGAGTGAGAACTCCCCTCCAAAATAATTCACTTGTCTAGGACCATGTAACATAAGTGTAATTTCTTTCTACATAGGATAAAAGAAACATGGTACATAGTTAACATAATTCAGAATAGGTGTGATAGGACAACCTTATTACAACTAGATTAATATTAATTTCCACATTTGAGTTGCCTAGTGCAGTGGCAAAAGATCAAACAGTTTAATACTAACAATGCTTCTATTTCCCATGAAATAAAAATAAAAATAACGAAGAATAGGAAAGAACAGGTTACAGGGAGCTGCATTTTAGATTGCAAACACATTCCCCTCGCACAACTCATTCTAGTCATTTCTAGCCCTCCACACACCTGAATCAAATGCTTGAACACCTGTAAATACTAGTGACCTGATCTCTTCCATTTTGATTAATGTATAACAACTCTCCTCCATTATATTTTTGTACAATCCCACTTCCAGTAATCTCATAAATTAAGTCCAGCTGCAGGGATCCACGAATTAAAAAAAATTAAAGCAAGAATGAAAAGCAATTCAATATTTTCCACACATTTTCTTTATCTTCACTATACTTGAGTTAACCATATTTCAAGACCACATAAGATGATCCCTGCTTGAAGAAGTAGGGCAAGTAGGATAATCCAGTACTGATATTAAAATTATACTTCCTGCATTTGAATACCTTAAGAAATGATTACAACAATGGAGAGGCAGTGAAGCAGAAAAAAGACTCTTAAGCATAATAAACTAAAATTGCCTATAACAAGTATTGTAATCAATTTCCTAATTCTGTATTTACCATCTAAGATAATAAACAAAGGAAAAGTGCAGGGAAGCTATATGACATGACAAAGACAGAACATGAATGTGCAATCAAGTAAATGAACGTAAAAGTAAAAAGGATAGCATGTTCTAAAATGCATGTGAATAAGAACTCACCGAGTGGTGATCACCTCTATGATGCTTGCCTTTGTGAATATCCTTCGACTTCTTCTCTGTAGAGTAAAAGATAGAGAATGACAACTTTACTTTTGAAACCCATTTATAAAGTAATTTTTCACAATTAACCCGTTCATTAGTAAGATAAGTCAAAATTTACATCTGCATTCGCGATGAGGCTGCAGTGGAAAACTGAAGAAGTAAAAACTCAAGAATTCAAATTGTTACAGAATACTCTTCTCTCTCGAACACACAAATTCCGGATATGAATTTGAGGGAAAAAAAAAGAAGCTAAAGTTCCACAGAGAGAAAATTTGAAGAATATATCAAAAATAAAAGGATTTTGATTTCTATATCACTTGGCCATAGAACCGACATCAGTTTGATACCAAGAAAACAGAACTCCGGTGCGAACTAGAGCAATTTGTACCGTACCATCGAGTCAAATAAAAATGAAATACCAACGAAGAAGCAAACAACGTCTCTACTACCTACAATACCAAACATAATTCGTAACATGCATATGTTTGAAAATACCCATTAACCTTTACCTGAGTGGTGTTTGGAGTGCTTGTGAGATTTCTTCTCCTTCCGCTTCTCTCTCTTATCGCTCCTTCTAATCTCCCTTCCGTCATCTTCCGCAGCTCTCGGTCTCTTGCTCCTCTTCTCGTCTAAGCTTTTACGAGAAATAGCATTAACACAGTGGAATCAAGTAATCCACCGTAGATTACTGAGAAAATAATCTCAAAGAAAGCAAATTTGTAAAATTCTGTAGGGGAACTGTTTTTAGTTGGCGAACTTGTTGAGAATTACAACAAAATACTTGAGTAAACAAAAGTAAAAGGAGGGGAAGTGAAATTTTGTTGGACAAAAGGAGAAGTGGAACCTCTACCTTCAGAAGATGAAGCCGCTTTTCTGTTCTTCCTCTTCTCCTTGGATTTTCTTTCGCTTCCACCCATTTCTAAATTGACAAGGATCGAGAATTGGTTGATTCGTTTCGCGCTTCGGTGAGGTGAGCGATCCGGTCTTCTTACCGTAGCATTCCGTGTTTTCTTTTTAATGCTTTTTTCGCTGTATGTAATTCGCTATTGGTACAAATTAAAGCTAAAATTTCTATTTAATCGAGTCTTAAATTAAAATATATATATATATAGGTGGATTGTTTTTATTTTCTACTATTTAATAAAAAGAATTTCATCATGCATTTTAACTGCTTCTCAAAAACTATAACAAATAATTTCTTATAAATGAAAATTTAAACATGAGCATAGTTCAATTATCTTGTTCTTTTTCTGAGATGAGAAACTAAATCTCAATGATTATTTTAATTTCATTTCCACATTTACATATTTTTTAGTTTAACTTTTTTTTTAATTAAATGGACCTTCGTTCAAACTTACRCTTTTAAGAAGAAATATAGAATAAGTAAATCTTAAAAGAAGAAATAGATATAATAATAATTTTTTAGTTTAAATATTAATTTATAAATACCAATTTCTCAAATATAGAATTTAAAAAATGAGAGGTAATACAACAAACAATACGTGGGAAGTAGTAAACGAGTTTAGCTAGATTCAGAATTGGCAAATTAGAGAGGTAATACGTAGAGGAATGGAAAAGAAAAAGTATATTAATCCAAAATTACACGTGACTTTTTAAAAGAAACAAGGCATACCTAGAAGGGGCGGGAGTAGGAGTATGAGCGTTATGGCGCGAAGTTGCGTCCAGTTCATCGTTTAACCAACTTTCTGGTGAAGCTGATGCATATACAGAGCGAAGTTGAAGGGAAGGTGTTCAGATCTTTCACTCTGCAACTAAAACAAAAACAAAATCAAAATGTTGAATGGATGGGTCCTTCCGGTCCTCTTCACCACCGTCCTCGTTTCTCTCTGCAATCCAAGAGGCGTATCGGAGATCAAAACACTCTCAAACAATCCCGAAACCCAACAACAGCTCTTCTCTTTCCTCTCAACTCTCCAGTATGACTTCTATCGAGAATCCTGCCCCAACGCCGAGAAGATTGTAAGGTTCAAAATGGCTCTGCTCTACTCGCACCACCCGGATATCTCCGCTTCTCTCCTTAGGCTCTTCTTTCACGACTGCTTCATACAGGTATGGTGTAACCCCATTTCTTGATTCCCTTCTTGATCTTCTTTACCTTCTTCTTCTTCTTAATTCTTTTCGTTTTCTTCTCAATTAGGGTTGCGACGCTTCCATCCTACTGGATCCCACTGCAGGCGACGAAAGCTATTCGAGCGAGAAGCAGGCTATTCCGAATTTAACCTTGAAGGGCTTCGATGAGATAGATGAAATCAAGGAGGAGCTAGAAAGGGTTTGCCCAACTGTAGTTTCTTGCGCCGATATCCTCTCCCTTGCTACTAGAGATGCCGTCCTTCTGGTAACTACATTATTCCCTCCTCTCCTTTTCCGTTTCTTGTCATTCTTTCAACCGAACCGCTCTGTGGTTGAAGATTCTCAGTTTTCTTTGTATTGGACTAAACTAATGTGATTAATAATGCATAAAACCAAGGCTGGTGGCCCCTTCTATCCAGTCTTCACTGGCAGACGAGACAGCACAAGGCCATACTTCGAAGAAGCAATGGCTGAAATGCCGAGACCCAGCGACAACATTAATCGCACTCTTTACCTATTTGCAGCCAAAGGATTCGACGAAAGAGACATGGTCAGTCTTCTAGGTATGCTAATTAGTAATTATTTCCTCCCTCCGCTGATTCTCCGCAAAATTAGTTCAGCAATTACCTTTTGGCTTTTGGCTTTGTGTGATCCGGCTCTATAGGAGCGCACAACATTGGGAAGATTGGGTGTCAGTTCATTCTGCATCGGCTTTATAACTTCTCTGGGACCGGCCAACCAGATCCATCAATCGACTCTGAGTTTCTAAACCTGATGAGATTCAAGTGCCGAGAGAAGGAGAGCAGTAGCAGCATCGGTACTACTCGAGATCAGTCTCCGGCATCATCCCCGATTCCAGAGGCATCGGTGGAGAGGTTGAGGAGGAGGTCTGCAATGGGCATGTCTTACTTTCAAGAACTGTCACCTTCATTGTCGTCGGAGGGAGGTTTCGACACCCATTATTATAAGAGCTTGTTGAGTGGGAGAGGGCTGTTGTATGCTGATCAGCAACTAATGGCCAATGAGAAGACCGCCAGGCTCGTCAGGGGATATGCTTTGGATGATGGCTCTACCTTTCGCATGGACTTTGCGAGGGCTATGGTGAAGCTATCGGTTCTTAACGTTCTCACTGGTTCGCAAGGTCATATTCGTGAGAGGTGCGGGTCCTGAAATGCAAGACCATATTTTGTTTCAAGACGTTTTCGGTGTCATTGCTGTGTTCAGATTCTTGAACAGAGTTGGACATGTTTTACTTCATTAGTAGTTGATTTCGGGAATGTATATAAATAGAAAATTCTTGTCAATGGAACCAATAGTATGTTCTTCCTCCGGCCTCCTACATGGCGACTCTGTATATATTAAACCCAGTTAGTAGCCACCTTCACAATCAAACTCCCTCCCCATGACCTAGCCATTTGTTCGCCAACAGGTGTGCAAATTCTCCACTGTTTTGTTTTTTTCAATAACCACATGGTCTTAGATGATCTCCCCTTAGCTTTAATAGCTTTTGATTTGCTTCGGGCGTATGAGTTTGCAGTTATAGGCCAGAATTACTTACAAAGCATGGGTGTAAAAGATGTACCGTCACATGCATGAATATGGTAACAACGAAGTAAAGCAGCTGCGAAAAGTAATTGAGGTAAAACCCCAGGTCTGTGTCAATCATGAAAAGGGCAAAAAAGTTTATATACAACCATCAGTTATAAATACTTGGAACCGTATTAACACGTAGAAATGTGAGATTGCAGTTTCTTAAATACAAATTCCACAGACGAAACTTGGATGTCAAAACCAAAAGTTTGACCCCCATAAAGCACATAAAGATACCCTTTTGGAGATGAAGGCGGTGGTAGAAGTTTCGATACCTCGGGAAAATCTGATGTGGGTGGCGAAGGCACATCCTTGTTCTTCATGGAGTAGAACACATCAGCGACGAGAAGCCAAATAAGATCGGGATCTATAGATGCAAGTCCTTCAAGTGCATTCAAAGATGCTTCCCGTAGCCCAACAACAGCACTAAAGGCTACACCTGCGACTAGGCCACTGACCTTCTTGAGGACTACTTCCAACGCTGATGCACTTCTTCTGTTTCGAGATAGATCAGCAATCATATTCAGCAATGCAACCTGGACTTTCAGACTGGAAACTTCAGCAACCGAGTCTTCTGTAGATACAGATGCGTTTCTATAAGGAAGTTGTAGCACGGCCTTTTCTTCTCTCAAATTTTGTTTCCTTTGAAATGGAGACGTCCTCAGAAGCTTCCAAAAATGAGACCCATCTGTACGGAATCGGCGTGTAAAGAAATCTCCTCCACAGATTTGCACTGAATTGCTGATCACATTCAAACATCTCTGTGCAGCCTGCCAAAGTTGCATGGATTACTATTTCAAAGTAAATAAATATTAAATTGGAAAGAGGGAGGCAGCAGGCCAGCAGCATAATCTAAATTCAACTAAAAGTAATTATTTCTTTGAGTTGACAAAGGTTAGAAGCAGGTCCAAAATAAAAGCCAACATTTTCTTTCTTGCCATGTAGGCTTCAGGACTCTTGAAACTAAAATCGTAAAAATCATCGACCTCAGTTGCATGAATCAAAAGATACAACGATTGCACAAGTAAAAGCTAGAACAAACATTTTCGTTTTGGAGGAAAAACATATAGACGAGTGATAGCTTACCACTGGATTTTTGTTCTGAATGCAAGCAACCAAAAAGGGCCATATTTTATTCATCGCGGGAAGCAACCTATTTTCATCATACCCCTCATCAGAAACTTCCAAAGTGTCTAGAAGCCGATAAAACGAATGTGAGTGCAACATCTCCTCAATTGCCTCCTTGGTATCCTTCTCGTGCTTATAGGCTTCTTCAACTTTCGCTAATGCCACTATCCCATACTATACAAACAATTTAGATAAATAACGTTTTGGATCAGAATAAAATTTAAGTGTACGTATGTAAGTATATATATATATATATTCAGTCTTGCAAGATTTCATGCATTATAAGGTGCATCCATCACCAAAAATGGATGTAGATGAGAAAGAATCTTTATTTCATCAAAGTGATGAGAGAGAGAGAGAGAGAGAAGGCTACTACTTTTTATTGGCATACCTCCATTAATAATTATGACTATGATACAAGATATGACCACGTGCAATTTAATTCAGGGACATGAAATAATCCTTACTGACGTTCTATTACAGAAAAAGTGACCACGACTAGATATCACTCTCTAACAAAGGGATCCAATTCTCAGCTCGAATCTAGACAGTCTTGGGAAAATCTAGGCGGCTCAGTTTTTTTTCTTTTTCAGATCACCTAGACTGCAATTAGATCGCATCCGAACACCAACTTCTATAAACAGAAAAGCTGGAAGGGATACAATGCACATAAGCTAAATAACTTCTACATTTCGTTAAATAGTTAGATACTGCCTTTCTTTCTCATTTCAAGTTGTGGAGAATGAAGTGCTTGAAAACCCCCTTAAAATTTGAAAAACCTATTTGCACATATTTGCTTCACAAATTGTAGTACTATGGGATATGGATCTACTGGGTCCACTTGAACGTGGGTGCCAGTCCAGAAACATCCAGAAAAGATACATACCTCAATAATATCTAAGGCCACCAAGCACGTTGCCTGATTCTGTGAAGCCAAGAGAGGTACAGCAGTCACAATGCACGAACCAGCAATGGATCCAACAGTTCGTCTATATCTTCTGGAATCGTTGAACTTGAACAAAATATTTTCCCACTCTACACAGAATAAATTTGACCTTTAAATAATTCTTTCATTAAGCCTCATGTTTCATAGTACTACAGTCTTAGAAACATCTAATTGAATCTAGATTAAGTTCACTCTTGCGACGATGCACAATGACAATTTTGACGAGTAGATTAAGTTAATCCTCCTAATATCCAGCACTGTTTCCTTGCAAGAACAAAGGAACTGAACGGAAAATAAAGTATGTGCATTCACAGTTCAGGATTTTTCTACAATGGTTTAACATTTGATGTACCACACCATACTACAGTTTAGAAATAAAACCCTCAACTTTATATCACCAAGATCAGACAGAAGTTTAACGTTTAAGGCTGATTAAACATCAAGATCGAAGAGTTAAATTTAGTATAGCATACAAGTTAACAAAATCGATCACCTGATTCCATCGAAGATATATTTTTATCATCATCGTAACACGATGTAGATACTCCTCCAGACTCAGATTCTGCCCGGTTTCCCTCCTTAGTGATTATAGACTTGACATGAACAAGATATGATGCTGTTTTACTAGGCAGGCAATTAGATTCATGCTTTGATACTCTGGCAATCTCTGCTACTGCCTAGAGAAAATTATTTCCATAATAATATAAATATATTAACAATTTGGTTTTACCATCACAAAAATCCTTCGTTTCAAAGAAAAATCACAAAGATCCTCACAATCAAGGAGAGACAAGTTAGGAAACTCTCTCCCTCACTCAACCCAAGGAGTCCAAAATCTCGAACAAAAAGCTAAATGAGCAAAGATATACAACATAAACAGTCGTAACACCTAAAATCTTACAGCAATGGAAAGGACAAGCAACTCTCAACAAACAGTCATATTTATTATTATAAATTTTACCACAAAGACAGTGGATATGCATAATTCAGAAAAGACCTTTAAGAAGGGACCAGTTAAACTGGGGTGCTGATGTCTTCCAAGAATCTCAAGTTCCAGCGATACTGAATGCATCTGCAATAGTTCAGTGCATCAGACTTTCAACTCATTCAGAAGGTATCAAAATTATGTAAATGACTGCACATAAGAAATGTATAAAATTTCAACTCTAAGAGACCATCAAGAATGTAGGATGGCAAACTATGAGCACACAACCATATGCATCGCATTCCATACGGAACACAGGTGCCCCCTAAATGAGTAAATCCAAAGACCGCTTTATAATGAATTAGATTGTTAAAGGATGTTAATTGGCATACAGGTTCCTCCAACAGAGGCAAAATCTCATGAGCTATTCCAATATAGGAAAGGATGGCAGCAAGAACATTTGGCACGTGAGGGTTGAGATCCAAATGACGTAACTGCCGACATATTGAATCAATCACATAATCTGCATTTTCCAAAACCAAGTCTCGAACCTGCAAAACATTTATATTTGCAACTGATCACAACTTGATAATCACCAATTGGAAGTGCTTCATATAATCCCTTGTGTAAGGCTGTTGTAAATTTCATACCATCAATGAAATTGTTTCCTAAAAATAACTAAAAATAACTGACATTATCTTACTGTTGGGTAGGCAGATGTAGAAGAAAGGACATGTAAGACAGCATCAGAGGTGATTCTAACTTCCACGTTTGAGGAAATAAGATTCTCAAGCAACAAATAAAGAGACGAATGAAGAAATCCTGAAGAAGCAAAATCTTTTCCGAGGCACATACTGAAAATACCTATTCCTTCAATTATAACCTGTTCAAGAGAAGAAGCTGCAGTTTCAACACAACGTAAAATCACCGTATGGCAATGACAAACATCTACAACTATGCATGTAAGTTATGAAGTTTTATCTTTCCTGATGGAGCATAGCAGTGTCTCTGAAGAAGTGTAAACTAATGTCTTCTTCACCTACAGGATGCATCGGGGAAGATTTATGTTGTATTGGAAGCTCCCATATCTCAGGAGATAGGTATTCATGCAGAATCCTACCAATACAATCAATTAACTGAGGTCTAACTTTTTCCAGGGAAATCTTCCAACCACAATCGTTGGTTGTGGCACATTCATAGTCATTGGTAGCCTTCCTATGCATTCTTGTTCTCTGAAACTTACTTGAGAAGTAACCTGTTGAATATTCTGAAACGCCAAATATCATCTCATTCAGAATACATACAGCAGTGCTTGCCTGGCGCACCAACAGTCCTGAACCAGTCCTCCTATACCAATATTCCCAGCTTTCTTCACTATATTCTTTCTTACGAATCTCAGAAACCAATTTTTGTAAGTTTCCCAGTGGGATATCAATGGTAACCGACAAACTACCTTCACCTTTGTTATCTGGTAATAAGAAAGCATACGAGATGAGGACAAAAGATAAGAAAAGAAGAGCTGAAATATCAGAAATAGAATAGTACAAGAACCTGACACCAAAGACAAACCAACAAGTCGGAGAACTCCTCCAAGAGCTTCATATAGGTTCTGATTGCCAATGCCATTAAACCATGGGGGCATGCGAGGAAGCACATGATTCTTTCGCAGTATATCTTTCTCTTGAACCTTTGTGGGCTCTGGAACTGCAGGCAAGGCAGTATTCATGATGGAGAGGCAATTACTGATGAAATTAGTTCCAACTTTTAACTCAGTAAGAGAGTGCAAATATCCTAAAGAAGATGGCCCTGATGAAAGGAATTTTCCAAGAGAACTGGCATAAACTGAATTCTGATTTAGACAAACAGAGAATACATCTAGAAAGCGAACGGCAGTTACCTAAAAATTCAACGACCAATGAAAAATTAATCTGGTAATGAAAACATACAAAACAGTAAATAAGAGATTAAAGATCAAATGGACAAAAAAACTGAGGGAAATAACAAAAATAAAATCAGAAATAAAATCATGCAGTGCCAAGTATAAAATCAATAGCAGAATGATACAGGAGAAGAGGAAAGAATAGCTCAGATGAATTTACTTTCCATCTATTTTCAAACATAGCTCATGATTTACCCAAAGTGAAACTAGAAGGGGAAATAAAGATTCATTGTTATGATCCAAAACATGTATTCAAGCATAGAAAATAACTTTATAGTTAACTATTGTTGAAGCCATAGTACTTCCAGCAATTATTCTATCATTTTTCAAGGAACAAAGCAGCAAGTCATACTTCATCTACATCTTCTGTTAGTTATTGGCAGAAAATGAAGTATTAAAGTAAATGAAAGTAGCCATGTCTGGTAAAACATCAAAGAGAAGGTCATACTGGAGAGTGGATAAGATGATCTATAATGAGCTGATGACCAGAATAATATGCCACCACGAGTAACTGTTGAGCATGTGATAGAGCAAACTTCTCTTCACTTCCAAGAACCACATTCGGAAGCTTTTCAACCAGCCTAGATTTTTTTTTTTTTGGGTGGGCGGAAGTTAGCTTTACAATATGTCCAAGAAATTTTAGTAATTTGTGGTTTTATATATCAGATAAGAACCTCACAAAAATTTTGGCAATGTCATGCTGCAATTGTTGGTTCCGAGTAATCCAGAATAAATATTCAAGGAACTCTTGTGCAGTGACTGCAACATCGTCAGAGTCGTCAACAGCCAAAGCACACAAGCACTCCTGCATTGACAGCCGAAATATAAATTAAACAATTTGAGCAGCAAGCTTAACAAATTTCCACAATGTCAATGATCAAGATGCCAACCAACTCAGTATAACATTTTCTAGCTGAATCCATAAATTGCCAGGGGTAAGCATACAAAAATTCCTAACAATACCCAACATATTCCATGACTATGTTTCATTTCAAGCAGCCCCAAGATCACATAAAAAGAATCTTATTTCATACTGTATTACTATTATATGTGCATTTGACCACATAATGACGTATCTGACGCAATTGATTTTTAGACATAAAAATGACTTTTTTTCCAACAGAGTACAGAAAAGAAGTGATGGTCTTTTTCCGATTAAATCCTAAAAGATGGTATTGGGTAGGTACACCTGCAGCCAATAGCAAGTTGTATAATGAGATGGTTCCAGATTTCTTTTTTCTTTTTCTTTTTCTCTTTTTTGATAAAAAACAATTTCATTGATGGGATGAAATTACAAAAGATTAGAAAAGCTGTAATGGGAAGTCTTAGAATAACCCAACTGAACAAAGTCATTTGGACGGATCTAATAGCTACTGTTTCTCAGAAGATCCTAATAGAGAGGAATAGTACAAATTTAATATAAGCAGTATTCTTGAAACATGGAACAAAAAAAAAAAAAATTGTTGCTTCCCTTTCGTTCATGTTGCTTTATTTTTTATATTGAGAAATTGGAATCTTTACAATAATCTCTTCTTTCACTAGGGCTAAAGCTGGACATCAAGTCCTTTTTCTATGAACTTCTTCATGTTTATATAATTGCAAGAAAAAAGGTAGAACCATGTATCCTTTTAACATTCAAAATCCAATAAATAAATAGTTGATTGCGTTGAATAAGAAGAGCATGAAGTTCAAATTATTGAAAAATATCAATTTCATGTAAGACAAGGAACTACTGATCTTGCTTATATCCATTAAATGCAGAGCATTGGTCTACCTTTGACATCCTGCCCTTCTTAATGAAATTCATACACTTTCATTTCACTTTTCACACACTTTATTATACGTCTATAGGCTCCACAGATATGAAAAAGGATTCATTACTTCCAAAAAAATGCAATAAATTCAATTAAAAAGGTGTTAACCAATACTTTAAATACATCAACAAGCCCAACTAAATTGATTACACAGGTAGATAGTCATAGTTCTTTTTGCTCACCAAAAGCATCAATCTGCTCCCTTTTAGCGTACAAGTGCACCTTGATAGTAGGCCTTTTACTGCAGCCAGGATGCCCAGTCTAACTTTTTTTACCAGATGCACACAAATCTAGCAAACACTCAGAAAAGTTAGTTAGGTAACACATCAGCAGTTATAAGAGCAATAAAAGTTTGTTGGCAAGTCTTGAAGGACTCAATGTATAACCTTCAATGACTTACATATGGAAAAGTTCCACTTAGTAGTTTGTCCACATGTGTTGAAGTCTCAGCAACCCATTCCTTTGTACGATCCACATGAAAATACTTGTTCCCCTTAAGATAGTCAGCACTCACCTTCTCTTTAGGTCCAGATTTATAAGTAATTTTCTTCACCACCTCAGCAGATGAAGCTTCTTCTACCTTTTTACTCCGACTGTGGACTTTATCTGGCAATTGACGAAGTTCCTCTAGAATATATTGTGCCTTTTTACCCTTCTCCAACATAATGTCAGATTGAACGTCCACAAGCATATCAAGGCTTGATTTATTAGCATCATCCTGGAGGACTATCATAAGATATTCAGCCAAGCCTCTAATTGCTTGGTTCATAGCTTCTGTGTTCCCAGCAGCCCCACTTAACATTGTTTTAGAGGTCCGCAAAACTTTAGAAAATTGACTAACAACACCAGGCAAGAAGTAGGCTAATGCATCAGCTGTTCCAACCTGCAAAATAATAGTATCAATAATCTAAACCACTAAAATATTCATGTTCAAGATTATTACAACAACACCAAAAAAGTAGAATTGTAGAGTATGAAAGTGAATATATACAAGATAATATATTCATAATTTTTTTTCTTTATTTCATCAGGGAACATCCCCATTCGAGCAAATAAGTTAAGAAGTGGCAGGGATTACAGGTTTTTCAATAATGTTGATTTACGGCCTAAAATACATGCATGTATTCTGAAGTCAATCAGCTATGGAGCTCCACAGTCACACAGAGAATAACCTTGGCAATTCCTTATTGATATATGTACGGACAATTGAGTTTGTCTTCGGATAATTCAAATGGTACTCTATTTGTCATGAGAGGCTAAGTCAACAGCCGGGAAACTTGCAACTACTATTGCTTTAACTTGAACCTGGTTTTCCAAATGTAAAGTACCTTAATCAATATAAGCTCGGTCAGATGACCTTATTCTCATTTCTTATTCTAAGCAATCCAATCAAGGGGTAGAGTGTCTCAAATCTTTATCACAGGAAAAAGACTTACTCTATGGACTATGGGTGAAGATCATGCTAAACAAGACCTAAAACTCATGTCCCTCCTGTCAAGAATTAATTCTAAGTGATGACAGGTAGCCCAATTGTACAAAGTTAACGGAAAGTTAAATATTTACCTTTGCAACAAGTATGCGAAGGGTCATAAAGGCTTCAATACGAAGTTTAGAACTTCCATGATGTCCTCGTGCAGCCTCAATATCTGCAGCCTTTTAACATACTCATGAAGGATAGAAAGACTTGTGCAAAATAAATGCTAAAACATGGGGAAATCAAATAAAAAGTGTTTTTTCATACTTTGAGAAGAAGTGACAGCCAGTGTCCGACAGCAGCTGATGCAGTTTCACTCCGGAGAAATTCAAGCAAGCATTCATTTGGCTTTGACTCTTCTGAAAGCACATCAAGATGACCTTCAAAATCTCTGTTTTCTGCAAGTGCTGGGAAACCAGATATTTGTTTACAAGAGCATGCATGATCTGAGCAGGGACATAAATTTACAAAGATTGCCCTAAAACACTTGATAACTCCTTCACGGAACTCTTCCGATGCCTCAAACGGAGATAGCAAAGCTCCAGATGTTAACTTTTTCAGCACTACAACCATCTGCATTACCACATCATCATACTTAAGCCAAGCAACTAATTCAGAAAATGGATACATTGAAGTCCTTAAAGGCTATTCCCAGAATACAACAAAAACAGGCCAATTAACCATATAACTTCTATTTACTACTTTCTGCAAGACAGTGCAATTAAGGGACACAATTGAAGTAAGAAAAAGTTAAATGCTTCATTTCCCACAAAAGACACTAACTGAAGAAAGTTACATTTTTTTTTATATATAAGAAACAGTCATTGTCCGCTAAACTGAAGAACTCAACAACAATGACAAACCCCCACCCCTCCAATCTTAACAGCCTTTTAAGGTACCGTTGCTCTCTGCATCAGAAGCTGATCAAATTTTATATCTTCAGCTGACAGTGACTATAAACATTTAACACCACGGAGTTTAAAAATAGAGATCCAACAAACAAATTAGAACCTACTTCAATTATTGCACTCATTCAAGTCATAAACCCACGATGCCCATAAATATGAAATCTTAACCCCAAGCACCATAAAAAATAAACTAAAATTAGACCAGTGAGATATTAGAGACTTCAAATCCTGCATATTTTGGTAGAAGAAGGATGACAGAAACTGAAGCGCAATAAAAATCAAATCTCCTCCAGGACTGCTTCACCAAATTATTCTTACGGAATAGAAGTATAGTTAGTTGATATTGATTACTTGAAACTGATTAGTGAGTACCAAATAACAAGCATCACCCTAAGAATAGTCCCTTACACCATAAAGATACTGGACAATTACTAAACGAAAGGGTAAACGAATGAGGCACATCTCAAATCTAAAAGTGTTTTCAAATTAGACCACCTGCTCCACAGATCCTAAATGACACTTCTTCAGCAGTTCTTCAAGACACTGAAGCACGCCTTCTGCCACACTGTCACTCACTCTATGCGGCAGATCATGACTGATAGACGTTACAATGTTTTCTCCGGAATCAACCTTCTGCTGGGATCTATCCACAACAGCTGCATCTAATAGCAGCAATAGCGGGAAGAGGGCATAACTGGAAATAGCAAAGACTATGCTATCAGGTAGCATTGCATGGAAGTTCAAACGAACTGAAATTGCTATGAGTTAACAAAAATAGATATATTTTTCTCAGAAAAATAATATTACAACAATTGATAAGTTTGGTTGAAATTATTGAATCTTCTAAGAAGCATACAGTTCGTGGACGAAAGAATATTTTAGCCTAGTTCACATGAGGTCTAACTGTAATTAGTTTTTCATTGTCATTAGAAGCGATAGTTGATCTCCAATCATATCCAATAAGTTACCCTCATTAATGATCAGCAAGTATACTACGTCCAGAAAACTGCATCATTTTTACGACGTCTAAAACACTCTTAATCATTTTAAGTTCTGGAACGAAAAGACATAATTATTCGACGTTTCCACTTAAAATGAACCCTTTAAATAATTTCCCCTAGAAGCAAATAAGATTCTTCGATGCCCTTAAAAACGTGAAAACTGATTGTGCGATTAACGATAGATTGATCAGAAAACGCAAATGGATCAACATATAATACGAACGTGAACTTAAAGAAGAACTGCACATTGTAGACGCCAGGAGGAAAGAGTAGCTTACTCAAAAAAAGGTTGCATAGAAGTCGGGGAAGTTTTTCGAAGTAACTCAAGCATTGAAGGAATTGCGGAAGGATGCTTCTTTGGCTTTTGGAGAAGCTCTAGGAGCTCTAAGCAATAAGGTTTCAGCTCTGCGAACACTCTACTTCGCTGAACCCCTTCATTTGATTCTTCCAGTTTTTCTTCCTCGCTTGAGGAATTTGTATCAACTATACGCATCACTCTACTTCTCTGAACTCCTTCATTTGATTCTTCCAGTTTTTCTTCCTCGCCTAAGGAACTTGTATCAACTATACGCATCTTCGACAGCTAGGGAGAAACAGAGGGAAACGCTACTTCGAGACAAGGGCAAACGTGAAAACAAAATAAACACGAACAATTATATTAGAAATTGAAATGAAGCCAAAGATCAGATGCATAGCATAAGAATTCGTATGAAGGTGAAGGAAGACATAGAGGGCCGATAATTTCTGCAGAGAGCGCGAGAAGACCCGCTAAACTTGACGATGGTCTCAAAACTTTTTCTTCTATAGTTTTTTCCTTTCCCTCCATCGTCCATCGGACGGTGCTGCACTCGCACTAGGAAACTGGGGCGGTGGGCTGGGCCAAAAGTGACGACGAATGACCGTTATTTTTTGCTACGGCCAATCATTCCCTTCTGGGCTTTCTTTGCTTGGAAGCCCACTCTTTTATTGGATCGCGAACTTTGACCCATGTTAATTAATAACTAAACAATTTATCGAAGGTGTTCGTATTTGTCACCTTATTTTGAAAAATGGTCGTAAGGTTTTTTTAATAAAAAATATCTATTTTGGTTTTTCTTGATTTTGATTTTGATCCTTTTATCCTTTCTATTTAGTTATTATTTTTAAAATCAAAATAATATTCTCTCTTACACTATCAAATTTGTTTCAGATTTTCCTATTTTTATGTTGTATCATCCTTTAAGAATGGGAGTTATTTGGTCATTTTCTGATATGACTATATATGTTGTTATCCTTGTAACTATTGTAATTCTAGTTCTTTAAAAGAAAACAAACACACACAGAAACACTATTGTAATTATGGTTAATCAAGGTTAAAGTTGCTTTTTTTTTTTTGTTTTTGAGTATGATGTTAAAGTTGCTTAATTAAAAGTTAATCGTAAAAAAAATAATATAGTTATTAATTAAATTTATTAAAATAATATTATTTTAACAATGACTTTTAACAAATGTTATCTCCATAATAGAGCTACAATATATAATGGAGTTACTTACCTAACGTTTCATACTAAATATTCTGATTTAAAATATTTGTGGAACAGAGATAGTTATTTAGTCATAGTCAATTTCATTAATTATTTAACGTGACCAATCATACCAATTATTTAGTTCATTTCATTGACTTTTTTATAATTAATGTATCTGTTATCTAATTGTTCAACTAGAAATTCAACTAGAGAAAACTCGAATTTATGAACTTATATTTGTATTTATATATGTGGATGTTACAATCTCTGATATATAAACTTCTGATTAATTCAAAGACTTGTGAGCTTGTTATCGAATCAATGGGTCTGCACCTTCAGCTTCTAGAGTAGTGAAGAATCTTTAAAGTCTTCGGTTGTGAAGCTTGACGCTTGACGAGGTTTGTGGCTTGATGAAGTATTTGGCTCGCTTGACGAAATCTGCAGCTTGATGAAGTACTTTAGTTTCGCAGCGTGTTGAAGTGCTTCGGCTTTGTAGCTGGTTGAAGTTCTTCGGCTTTTTAGCTTGTTGAAGTTTTTCGACTTTTGCAGCGTGTTGAGTTCTTCGGTCTGTCGGTTGGCGAAGAGAGGGTTCAGAATTCTTGAAGTCTCGTAGTCTTCAAGTCTTCAGTTCTTCGAGTCTTGTTAGACGGTTGTAGATGACTCTTAATGCACCGAATGCTCTGACTCTCCAATACTTATGGATCCTCCTCCCTTCTTCTTTCTTCTTTCTTCTTGCCCCCTAAGAGGCGACCTCCCTATTTATAGAGTATTTGTGGGTCTTATTGGGTCATGTCATAAAAGAGACATGTGACACAATTGAATTTGCCGATTTAAAATTAATTTAGAACACGTGTAATTTTATGACTGGTCCAAGATGTAATTTTAAATTGTGATGTGGCACTTAGTGATTGGCCGAAATTTTTCATTCAACACTAATTGATGCAACTTAATTGGTTTGATTTTAGTGACATTAATCAATTAGTTTGGACTATCTAATTAACTATTAAATATTTTGTTTTTTTTAAATAATGAACTATGTAAAATATTTGAACTTGTATCTCGGTGAAGTTCAAATTATGTATATCTTCAATTAAAAAGTTGTAAGTTGGATCTCACCTCACATGTTATACTAAAAAAATCAATAACTTTACTGGAAGTGATTTACATCCATGAAAGTAATACTGTGCACAAAATAATTATTTGTTAGCGTTGGTAGAATAGTAACCAGTTAATAATTAAAGTTGGTAGTACCACTAATTAATCACATTAATTAGTTTAATTCAAGTATAACAGATATTTGCTAACTATTGACATCATAGGAATTAATTGTTTTATTAATTAGTTTTTAAGTCCCTTTTTTCGAGAAATAAAATAAGAAAATTAAAACAAGGGAACATATTCGATTGCAATAGAAAGCCAATTTGGGAACGTGAGCGTCCACCTCCTTTCTCCTCCGATTTCACTCACCTTTTTTGCCAAGACGTGGGCCGCATTGTTCTTCAGTAACTTCTTTCTTGATTAGACGAAGTGCTTTCAAAGAATCAGATTCCAAGTAAAGAGGCCAGCAAGTGTTCATGTCAATTGAATGAAGACCTCTGCAAATCGCCATTAATTCAATAAATTTTATTGATCTGTAAGCTCTTGTTCACAGCATCCCGCAAGAATCGCTTCACCTCTCCAATTTCGCACGATCCAACCCAAGCCTCCAACACCACGATGTTCATTCCAAGCAACATCAGTGTTGATTTTCCAGAAATTCGTAGGCGGAGTACTCCAACTAGTGATTATTCTGTTTCTTTCCTCATTTGATTCAATGCAGATCTGGTAATTACCTATAACTCTCGGAATATATGTTGTTGAGAAGTTTTGTTATGGCTTGACACTTGCTTGGAATTTCTCTATTGAATTGCATAGATCTTGGTCAATTTGAGCTTCCCCTCTGAAAATTGCTCTGTTCCTGTGCTCCCATATCTGTCATGCTATTATCATTCCAGCAACGGTCTCTTCTTTAGTTGTGTTGTCAATGATCCAATTCCAGTAGTCTTTAGCTTTCCATTATATTCTGTCCAAAACAAAAGAGGACGAATAAATAGGAATATACTTAGCCCAAAGGTGCTTTGTTACCTTACATCCCCATAGTAGATGTTGTATTGTCTCCTCCTGTTTTCTGCACAAGCCACACACAAGGTTAGTAGAAATTCCTCTTTTACACAAATTTGTTTTGGTGGGAATGATATCTGATAAAGCTTCCAACAACAGGTTTTGATTTTGGGAAGAACTTTTATTTTCCAAAAAGTTTTCCACCATTTGCCATTGTACTGCTTGTTAGAAGAGGACGCTAGGCTCGAGTTCTCCATGTCCATGCGGAGACGATAGGCGCTTTTGACACTGAAGACACCATTTTTATCAGGATTCCAAATCACCTCATCTTCTCTACACTCTTTTGGTAATGGAATGTTTAAAATAGTTTCAACATCGTGCTCATTGAAATAAGTTCTGATTATATCTTCATTCCAAGCTCCCCTCTCTCTTATCAAGAAAGCCACATTGTGATAGCGTATTGGATTTTGGACTTGGAAAGGGCACATGTTTCCATTTCCGGCAGCCACGGATCTGTCCCAATTGTCACTGAGGAGCCATTTCCAATTCTCCACCTATGACCTTTAACAAAAAGCTCCTTGTCCCACATGATGCTTCTTCAAATAAACGAAGAGTTTTTTCCCAACTCAGCTTCATAAAAATGCCATTAAAGTAATATTTACCCCCTTCAAAACTTTATCCAAGAGACTGTCAGGATGTTGGGTTAGACGCCAGCTCTATTTAGCAAGCATAGCTTGGTTGAAAACACCAATATTTTTGAAGCCCATACCCCTTGGTCTTTGCTTATACATAGCTTCTTCCAACTTTTCCAATGAATTTTCCTTTCCTTTTCATTAGAGCCCCACTAGAACCTAGCATAAAGCGAATTAATTTCAGTACATAAGCTCGTGGGAAGTTTGAAGCAGCTCATAGTGTAAGTTGGGATGGCTTGAGCTACTGCTTTTATCAAGATCTCCTTGCCCCGGATGGAGAAGATATTCTCCTTCCAACCCTGCAATACTCGCCATACTTTATTTTTAATAGAACTGAAAACTTGACATCTATTTTTAGAAGTTTGAGAAGGGAGACCTAAATATTGGCCAAGAGTATTGGTGTGGTTAACTTAGAGCTCTTGTTTAATGCAATCAACAACAGATAAAGAATATAGCTCAAGATTAAATATGATGAACTTAAAATTCATATACCAACATGAATATAGTTCAAGATTTAGTCATACTGATGTAAAAAAAATAAAATAAAAAATAAGACATATTTCCCGATTAAAAGTCATGGTAAATTTTACAACCACATATTCTCATAACTCAAAAGAAAAAATAAAATTAAAGATTCATATTATTGAACTAAAAAAAATTTATTATGCACAATTTTTTTCCCAATAAATGTCATGTTGCATTCACATATAAATGAATGAAAAAATTTCTGGATATTAATCCACTGTATAGAGAAATATGATTTCTCTAATACATCAAATATTCCGTGAATCTTTTGTTATCTACGAAAGTCACTCATTTTAAATATAAAGTATTTAATGAAGAAAAAAGAGAGTAGCATTTAAAAAGTGTTATGATGGTGGTATGACTCAAAGTTTTCCCTTCACATCGTAGCCATATTTGGGTTTGGAGGTACACCTTACTAGTGTCGTAGGTTCATCTCATTTCAAGAAATAATATTTCTTCCACGATAATTGCAGGAGCAAGAAATTGTTGATAATATTTTATGTCACTTCATGATTCCTTCAATTAATTGACTCCGATTAAAGACTGTTCTCATATCACCACCCTTCGAATTTTCACATGGTACAATATAGTACAAACTTGGAACAAAGTTTTGTTTAATGAGTACAAAATAAAAAAATAAAAAAAAGGTTTGTTTAAAGAGAAATCCACGTATACTTGGACGTAATGCGCCCAATGTTAAACAGAAAAGAAAAGGAAAAGGTACATTTTTGCTCAAATAGTTATTAATTGTTAAAGTAGGTTATTTTTGTGTCCGGAAGTCAAAAAATAGTAGATACATTGTTAATTTTTAAAATGAAGATCAAACGTTGGACCTTAATTATTAAAAAAAAAAAAAAAAGAAAAAGATGACTTTATCTGCATTTAAAACGTCAGAGAAAAAATAAATTGTGGATTAGGCAATTAAATAAAATAGAAGAAGCAGAGAGAGGTTGCGTCATCTAAAGTTGTTTGGTTTTAGGTATTAAATGTGCATTCAAAACGTTTTTATGGGTGAGTATTAAATGCCATCGACTTTTCTACGGTCCGGTCCGGTCCGGTGTACTAAATCGAAATAATCATTTTTAGAATCCACATCATAAGAGTAAGCCGGAACGGAGCAGATAAAAAAATGAGCAATAATTTTTCATTTAATTTGGGTTAATCCGGACCCTAAACTCTAATTTGTAACTATATAATTTTTAAAAATTTTTATGGAGTTTTAATTTAAGTCTTATAATTTTTTCTCTATCACACAAATTTTTATGGAGTTTTAAAATTGTTTTTTTATATGTTTAGGTCAATAAATTAATGAGGGGCTGTATTTTTATAGATTACAAATATTGAATTTTGATGGGATAAAAATCAAAATTTGATTTTGATCCTATTTTTCCATAGTATGAGACTAAATTGTTATAAATTTTGAACCATAACGACTAAATTGATGGTACTAAAATTTCAGAGGCTAAGTTATAACAAATTTGAAAATATATAGGCTAAATCGTAACCATTAAAATTTGTGGACTAAATAATATATATGTAATGTACAATTTGTCTCGATGGGCTGCTCCATGTAAATGAGGTTTGAAAATTTGATTTAAAAAACTGAAAGATAATAGTTTGTTTGAATATTTTTTTATTTAGGAAATTAAAAAAAAAACAGGTAAAATAAAGGGCCATTAATTATGGAGTTTTGAATGCTTGGTTTGGCAGGTACTCGTGTGTCCATTTCAATATTTGTCAATGTTTGACTAACCAACAACAACAATAAATGTATTGATTTATGTATCATTAAATTTTCTGATGGAGAGAGCCTCCTCACATCCACCAAATTGCCTCTCTTAGTCTTATTCATTTACTGTTATTATTTTATTGTATTTCCTAGGTAATAGCTAATAATAAAGTTAAATTATTTGTCCAAAACTCAATATGTAATGTTAACAGTCAAATCATTTCATCAAAAATTAATTTTGTTACAAAGTTTCCAAATAATTCAGACTTGATGGACTCCTAATAGATTGTAAAGTGTATTTGGAACAAACATTTTATATATATATATATATAAGCAAATAACTTCCCCTACAAAGAATCAACACGAAATATTTTTATGTTATTATTGATTTAGACTACATCCCATATCTTGCAAACTATATATATATATAAATTAGGATTAGCATGAGTGTATATATTTACAACTCAATAATAGAACAATTCACATACGGTAACTATGTCACATGCCTAAATATCATCTTATCGTTTTTCAAGAGTTTAGTACAACTACCTGTAAAATTGTAATAGGTGGATGATTTGAATATTTGTACTGGCGTGTACATATGAAATAGGTTTAAAGTTGATAAAGACACACAAAAGGGTGATCTTCTCTTCGATCGAGACACCAAAATCGCCTTAAAAACTCAATCATATCGATGACATTTTTTGACGTTGAATAAAAGTATTGAGCCACATTTATCCCCATAATATAGTCAATATCGAACTATATCAAATAAGTGAGTTATTAAATAAGAAGGTTGTTTGGACACTAAAGGTCCATTTGATAATGTCTCCGTTTATTTTTATTTTTCTGTATTCAATTTTATTAAGAAACTTAAACATTTGACAATGATTTATGTTTTTTGTTTATTACTTTTTTTAGAAACATCTTACAAACTTTCAAGAGCGTAGTACATATATACATGTAATAGGTGGATGATTCGAATATGTACTAACACGTACAAAAATTTAAGTGGGTTTAAAGTTGATGAAGACTAACTTCTCTTTGATCAACAAACTAAAAATTGAGTGACAAACTTCAATGGGCGTAAAAGTTCATATCAACTAAAAATTGAGAAAATTACAAATTTAAAAAAAAATTACAAGATATTTTGGTAGATTTAAAAGCTAAGTTTGGTCTAAATCTACAAACGAATGATATTATCATCAAATTCGAACTACAATCATAGTAAATTTCAAACGCGCAACAAAATATAATCTAATTTAAACCGTAGATAAAAATAAAAATAAAAAATAAAGTTTTTGAGGTTAGAGGCCCACTTGTGCATATCTAACTATCATAATCAGAATCACAAATGAAAAGACAGAATAAAAAATGAAACAAAAAAGAAATGGTTCATGGGATTTGGATTGGGATTGGGGTTGGGGGAGGGGGATGATGATGAGGGCCTTTGGGGGCCGAAATTGGACCAACCAAACCAACTGTGATAAGCCCTTTTGGCTTAGCACCACAGCGTCTACGTGGCAAACAAACATTGGCTTCGAGTATCGAAAGTCAAAGTACTTTTCTTAAACCACACGTCCTCTAAAACCACTTCATTTAATACATTGATTGCTGCTTTGAATCAAATTTGAAGAAAAGTAGAGGGGTGGAAGGGGAATATATGAGAATATAAGTGGCATCAAAATAAATAACAAAAAATACTTAAAGATAGAGAGAAAAAACAAACAAACAAAGGGGGGCATTAATTGACGCAAATAAGAGTAGTAGTAGTAATTGTCATTGGCATTAAATGCCCCAATTAATTCTCTTCCACCACTCTTCCACTTTCCCATCATTAATCAAATTTGAACAATTAATTTCCATTTCACTCCCACCATTAATATTTTCAAAAATTAAAATTGTTTTTTTTTTCTTTTTAACTTAATTAATTAATTTAGTTCATAACGGCCTCGGCTTGCATTATTTACTAGATTACTGTCTTATATTTCATTGTGGTCTCCATAGAGTTACAAAGAGAGACAGCCCACGCCCACCCCTCCTTCTCCTTCTCTCTCTCCCCTTCATTTTCTTCTTTTTTATTTCTTCAGAATCAGAAATCAGAAAACCTTCAAAAAGGGGGTTTCTCTATAAAGCTCCAAAAATGGCTGCCGAAGTCAGTAGTCTAGTACGGGTACTCGCCGGCTACAAGGACGAAGATAATCGGACGACGCTGGGGAATGGCCAGGATCAATCAACGGCTCTCGTTACCCGCGACTTGCTCGGACAATCTTCCAAGCTCGCCGAGACTCAGGAATTGGACCTCGATTTGCAGGTTCCCACCGGCTGGGAAAAGAGACTCGACTTGAAGGTCCCTTCATCTTCTTCTCCACTTCAATTTTTATTTGCAACCCTTTTTCTTTTTTAATTTTTTTGTTTCGAAATCTGAAGAACATGTTGATTTGATTTGATTTGATTTTGTAAACCCTCCATTCTTCAGGCTTCAGCTGTTCTTTTTCTTTT